TGTTGTCAGGAGCAGGTTCACCAGGCGCAAGACTCGAGGAATAGGATAGGGCGTAGCATACAATGTTTTATAATCGGCATGTAGACAGCGGAGCAGAGACGAGGATAGAGACATGAATCAAGGCAAGTTTGCTAGGCAAGAAGTTGCTGCCATACATTGTGCGTAAGATAGGTGCATAACCACTCGGCCAAAAGGCCAGACCAGGATCATAGAACACTAGATAGTGGTTATCTCATCATATATAGATAATACAGCAGTGTTATGCTCAGCTATGTAGTATGGTAGATCTAGTAGCTGGTGCATAGGTAGTTATTATGGTAGCATGGCAATATGGAGCATGGAGGAGATCGAGTCTGTACATTAAGATATTACATGTAGTAATTTGTGCAGAATGAGAGATGGGTTGTTGATATAGGATAAATGGCATGGCTGCTCAGTTGGTTACACACTTTGGTGAGCTGCATACTGGTAACATTATTGGTCTACAAGGGAACAAGCTAGAGTATAAGAGACGGTTTCTCCTAATCTGTAATATTAAAATTATCATAGTCACTTCACTTCTGCAAATAAATGAAGACATCTCTCCACATACTGTCTTAGCTGTTCCAGCGCAAGTGTACATTCCCATTTCATATACCAAGTAAAACACAGTAGCCATATAGTCTTAGATCAAGAGGTTGGCAGGATACCATCTCCACATCAAGCAGTCTGTGACATTACTATGAGGATCTATAAAAATGATAAAACTTTTTCGGATGCTTATTACAATGGTCTGTTACCCGTCATTAGAGAAAGGACCGAAAACAATAAAACCGCATGTTCAACCTTTGAATTTTGGCATGAAGCTCTCTGTCATTTAGTGCCTTCTACAATTTCTAAGACAGATAAGCTCATACAGAACTCAGGTATCATCCCAAATATACCAAAGACCTATAACTGTGACACCTGCATGTCTTCCAAATCAGTACATCAAAAGTCTTCTCCATCAATTTTTAGAGCACAACTCAAAGGCAAATATATTCATTCAGATCTTGCATGACCATTCACTGTTCCATTGTATGGCAACACCTTATACCACATTAGTTTCATAGACTATGCAACATGATGTGCAACTATCCAATCCCTAAAATACAAATCTGATGCGGCGCAAGCCACTATTGATTTTATTACGGCCTTGGAAACACAGTACAATTGCAAAATCAAGTCACTCAGAACAGATAATGGCGGCAAATATGTCAATGAATCACCATCCAACATTCTTGCTAAGAAGGGAATAAGTCATCATTTGACTCCTCCCTATCCCCCTGAATCAAATGGTGTAGCCGAAAGGCTTAGCAGGTCGAATTCTGAAGGAATACAAGCAATACTAAATACAGTCAGAGATAAAAAGTTGTGGGCTGAAGCAGCGTAAAAATTTATTAATATTGAAAATAGTACTACACCTGGCTCAGTAAATGGACAGCCCCATATGAAGCTTTCCACGAGAGAAAACCATCCATTTTACACCCTCAACCCTTTGGAAGAGAATGCTATGTGCATGTCCCCATGGCGAAGTGTCCATCTGGAAGCAAGCTTCTACCGAGGGCGCAGAAAGGTGTGTTTGTTAGATACACTGAAGTCAATCATCAATATCAAATATTTGTTCCTGAGAGAAAATAGATTATCATATCAGCAGACGTGAAATTTCTACCTCATCATCTTGATAAGTCTGTCCCAGAGAAAATCTCTGGTCTCCACCCACATATCACAAATCAACCTAACTTACCAACTTCATCACTGATGTTGAACAGAATTAGAATGGTTCCGGAAATTGTAAGAATGACATACCAAGTATGAGGATAAATTAGAATTATGATGAGTTTGTTTAATGTACGACAAAGTCTACTGATGTTTAATGGATAGTTAATTGTAAAGAAATTGCTATAATTCCATATGTGTGGCAAAAAGTCCCTCTATATATATGAAAGCGGGGTTTTCCGCACACTAGTGTGAACTCCAACATACTCCCTAATCTAACCTAAACAGGAAGGTTGTTGGAGATCCTGAAGCCAATGTATGCTGTTAGGTATCTATTGGCTAATTACTATTCATGCCAGTGAGTGATGATATGGGTTAATCATATCTCATGGCGCCAGTGCATATTATTCTAATATGTACTATTTGTTTACTGCAGTCATGTTGCTGCCTCAATTACAACAAACAGTTCATTGAATTCTCTAAATGTCGAACAAGAACAAAATACTCAAAATGTCCATCAAAATCAAGATCCATGTCATGCTATTCAATCCGATTTTAGGGAGCCATCATCACAAGAACCGTCATCAATTCCAGCTACTGCTCAGATTGAACCCCAGTCAACAACAAATTTGTCAAATCAATGCCACCCATCAAATGAAGATTCAAGAACATCCGCTAACTCTAGACCAAAGCGCACAATACGTCCTCGGACATATGAAGACACAATAACAGGGGAATGGTGGAAAACTTCTCGTGATCTTCCTGAACCCGAATTGCAGATTTCAACATGTGGTGTTGGTAACAAGTTAGCCATGTTAAATATTCATGATGAAACTGAACCTAGCTCACACAGTGCTGCCAAATCATCACCTAGTTGGGCTTACTGGGAAAAGGCATTTGATGAGGAGATAGCATGCCTTAAAGATAACGACGTTTGGGATGTTGTTCCTCGACCTTAAGGACGAAAAGTCGTTAATGGCAAATGGGTCTGCAAGATAAAAAGAGATGCACATGGGGAAGTTGAACAATACAAAGCACGTTACGTTGCCAAAGGATTCTCACAGTTCCAAGGACTTGACTATGACAAAACCTTTGCTCCAGTTGTACGACTTGATTTATTATGGTTAATCTTGGTAATTGTGGCATCTAAGAATTGGAAAATGAGACAGCTCGACATTAAAACTGCATTTCTATGTGGAGTCTTGAGTGAGGACATTGACATGGAATTTCCTGAAGTGTACAGACAAGTAGATCATGTTGCAAAACTTAAAAAGTGTATATACAGACTCAAGCAATCACCTCGGGAATAGTTCTTCAGGTTGGCTGAATATATCATTCCTTATGGTCCTGCTCCATCCCTATTTGATCCCTGATTATTTATCCACAATAGAGGTAAAATGATCATTGCAGTTTACGTGGACAACATAGTACTAATTGGAGAACAAGAGGAGCTCATCGAAGATTTAGTAAACCACTTCAAGGCCGAATTCAAGGTCAAGGATATGGGAACTCTTCACTGGCTACTTGGAATTCAGATTGAGTACTCTGATTTAGGAATCACTCTATCGCAGTCTGCTTACATAAATAGAATCCTTGAGAGGTTTTTGATGCAAGATTGCAATATGGTCTCCACAACTATAGAGTGTAACCAACCATTAAAGGCATTGGAAAATGGAGAGCCTAGGGTCAATGCTACACTGCATCTACAAATAATCGGATCTAAAATGTATATCATATCTGCTACTAGACCTGATCTTGCATATGCAATCTCTCACCCCTCTCAATTCAACTCAGACCCATCTGTCACTCACCTAAGTGCTGCCAAGCGAGTTCTAAGATAAACCAAGGGGACAAAAGATGTCGGTTTGTTATACAAATTTGAATCTCCCCTGGTTCTCAATGGATACTGTGACGCATCATACGGAAATTGTTTCGATACACAAAGAAGTTTCTCTGGTTATTTATTCCAACTTGGTCAATCCACAATCTGCTGGAAGTCTTGCAAACAACGTACCGTTGCTCACTCCACTTTTGAAGCTGAGTATATGGCACTGTCGGTTGCAACGAAACAATTCCTTTGGATTGTTAGAGGACTTAACCAAATATTAGATAAAAATATACCTACTTCTCTGTCAACCAATAACAATTCCGCTATTGATCTAGCACATAATCCGAAGCTCAATGAGGCAACAAAGCATATTGACATCGCTTATCATTTCACTAGAGAGCGAGTTGAAGATGGGACGCTCACCTTACTACACATTTGGTCAGCTCAAAACCTTGCGGATATCTGTACAAAAGGTCTACCTAAACCAGGACTTATGCACTTGAGCACCAGCATCTTCGGTACAAAGTGAGAAGGGGTGTTGAAATTGGCGCTACTTGGCAATGAAGAGGCGCATTAATACAGAACGTAATAAGATTCTATTATTACTAGCCAATTTCATGACAACTCATACATTGACCAGCCTCGCAATTATGTAGCATAAACAAGTGAATCGTGTCCTTCACTTAGATGTAGTAATTAGTTTAAATAGCGCTCTGATACTAAGTGGGTTTAATCAACAACTCTCCACTATAGTTTTCAGACTCTTCAATCTCCCAACTCGCTTCACTAGGTGATATTAAATACAAGCCTAACAGCTTACGCTTCTCTATACAACTTCAATTACAACAGGAACTGTGGGAAGTATGGTCATGTGAAGACTTAGTGCTCTAGTAAGGAAGATGATAGTGAGAATAAAACATCATTTCTTGCAAGCAAGCGTGAAAATGAGTTAGGCCTTCCTCTAGTCATTTCTGATGAGTACTGCCAAATGAATGAAGAACTGTTGCCATGTTATCATTTTGCCACCCAAGATAGGCCTGATATATATGATTGGGCTGTGGAGTAATATTAGAAAAAAATGATTCAGAGACACTGTAAGGCCATTGAAATGATTGAAAATGACAATGAAAATTGTGATAATTTCTACATGATGTAGTTTGTTATTTAATTTTTGTCCTAAGCTAAAAGAAATTTTTTCCCAAATTAGTTGTGGATGTTAAGATCATGAGTCATGTAGGAACATAGTTACTTATCACTTGTAATATCTGATAGGGGTGTGTAGAGGATGTGTTTGACAGATTTGGATACTGTGAGAATTGTAAACATATGCTATATTATATACATCTATATGACCCATGTCATAGTCTTAGTTCCATCTCGTGATTGACTATCCATAGAAATCACACTACCAATCCAACGCTCATGAATCCATGGTTCATGAGCGGCCATTGCTGCTCCTGCGACTCACGTGTATTCTCTGCATGCCAGTCGCACCACTGCCTCTATAATTGCAGCTCAATACCTTAATTGAGCGCCCCTGAATAGCTGATCCAGGGGCGACCACACAGGTTTCTATTAGGGACACTCGAGATACACCTGTACATTTGATGCTGTTGCATATAGGCTGAGCAGTACCCGACCCCTTGTGGTTAGCGCTTATATTCCAGGGGCTTATGGTGTAGCCGCCCCCAAAGCTTCCATGTATAGTTTTTACCTGGGCGCTCCCGCGCCTGAAGCTTGGTGGCGAGCAGTAGATGTGCATGTTGCAGCTCTAGGCGTGGTTTGCACCTTCAGTACTGTGACCGTTATTTGCTGTAACTATCTCAAAAAAGGACCAGTAGATCCAGCAAGGTTCCCTGTAACTTTTCCTACAGCCTAAACTCATCTCATCCATGTGAATTACTGCCAAAAGTGCAGCTGATTAAATTGAAACAAAAAATCATGAAAATCAAAATAACTTCGAAATCCAGAAGATTCCTCCACATTGGACCAAAACATTGTGCTCCTCAGATATTCTGTTATCTGTCACACCTTCCAAATGACATATTTACTCATTCTATTCTAAGAGCATGTCACAGACCAAGAGCCTTTTCTGGGTCCATAGGAGCTCTGTATGAAGATATCTGTGGTATTCTGCTATATTCTATCCTAATCTGTTCTGTTCTGTTCTGTTCTATCCTATCTTACTCCATTCCATTCTAATCTGTTCTGTTCTGTTCTGTACTTGTCTAGACTATTCTATTCTGTATGAGAGTATACTGGAAAGTTCGAGAACAATAGAGCGGAATATATAATGGGTAATTGGAATGACTTCAGTTCGGCAGATTATGGTCTTGTATTCTTAGGAACCTTTTGACAATATTGAATTTGTGTCCATCTTTAACTTTTGACATCTTGACCTTCTGACATCTCCGAATATTGATTTATTGAACTCTCGACACCTTGACATCACCATAATCTCTCTACAAAAAAAAAATGTCGTCCCCTGAGTATGTTAGCAAATTTTCCAAAAAGTTTGGAGATATAAAAACTGTTGAACAATTTGTTGAAGGAGTGAAGACTGATTCAGAGATGATATACCATGCGGTGAGGAACTAAGGACGACTGAGAGAACATGCCGAAAACAAACTTGCAGCTACAAAAAAGAAATTGACCAATTGAAGCAATACTCTCAGTTCAGCTATGATGATAATAGCGAACGTTTTGCAAGTGTGTTAAGGGCAGCTCTAGATTCAAGTAAGCCCTCAAAATCAACTAAAATTCCTGATCCTGCAATTTTCTCTGGGCTAAAGAAGGACTTTTTTATGTGGAGGGTATTACGACCGACCTCAGGTTGACACTAGAAGACTCCCTCGAAATATAAAAGAGTAATTGCTTTGTATTTGGACCTAAAGCTACGCATGATAACTAAAAGAAAAGACAAGGAGAGAAAGAGGTCTGCAGCCTCGCTGGGCTGAAAACTCCACCAGCTCGCTTCCGGGACCAACGCTTACTTAACCAGACTCCACATCACGTGATACCATAAACCTATCATCTGTAAACTCAAGCCGTAACATTACCCCCCCCTTTGAAAAACTGCGTCCGCGCAGTTTGGGTCATTGGTCTATTGTCCTCCAAGTTGCTGTAGTCGTCAATTCCAGCATTGTAAGCTTCTATCCATTTCGGCAGGGCCCTTGGAGGTCCTTTAGCTTGTGGGTGACTGGTATGGAATTCTTTGATCTTGTGTGGGCCAGTCATTGCATCCGAGCAGGGGTACCATTCCAGATCCTTGTCCGCACCTTGCCACTGAATCCTGTATTCCAGTTTGTTCTTCTGCACCTGTGACCCCAAAATGCTAGTAATCTCCCACTCGTCCTGGTTCGCTATTATTTGCATAGGCGCTTGTGCAGGGCGCAATTGACCAGGTAGAGGGTTACTAATGTATTTTCGTAGGTATTGAGAATGAAAAACGGGATGAATTTTCCAATGAACTGGCAAGTCGACTCTCCAGCTCTCTCCCTCTTTCGCCAGAACTTTGACTGGGCCGTACCACTTGTCAGAGAGTTTTCTTGAAGGACGATCCAGCTTCCAGTTCCTAGTGTCAATGACTATTAGGTCCCCCACTGCCCAATCTACCTCGCGGCGGGTACGATCGGCCAGTCTCTTCATCTTATCTTGTTGCGACTGTAAGGATGACTGAGCGAAGGCTATTGCTTTCTCCTGGCGGCTTGCGATATCCAAGGCGTTCTGACAACTGAGCTGTTCGGTAGCTGATCTGGGAGGTTTAGGGTTGTGAAGGTCGAACGAGGTTCTTGGTTCGTACCCATTCAGCACCCGGAAGGGGCTGATATTTCCGAGCGACTCGTGGGGCAAGATCAGCTGTGCTATATCCATAAGTGGCAATAGGGAGCTCCAATTATCTTGATAGTACGTGCAAAAAGGGCGTAGTCTCTGCTTAACGTACTGATTCATGACCTCGGTTTGTCTGTCAACGTTAGGGTTATAGGCCGTAGTGAGTTTGACTTTAGTGCCTAAGATCCGGCAGTATTCTTTCCAGAAAGTTGAGACAAACTGTGGTCCACAATCGGAGACTATAGAGTCGGGCATTCCGAAGTGACGTGCCCAATGCACAAGGACTAGCCCGGCTATTTCCTTAGCTGTGATCGTTTTATGGCACGGAATCGAAAGGGATTTTTTTGTCAATCTATCCATGATGACAAATGCAGTGTTGTAATCCACTTCATCAAGAGGAAGCTCAGTGAAGTCCATTGTGAGGTGTTGGTACGGTCGAGCTGGGATTGGCAGAGGGTGTAATAGGCCAGGTGTCTTGTCCCGTCGGGCCTTCTGGCGGGCACAGCTACAGTTGGCAATGTAACGAGCAACATCACTCCCTAATCTAGACCAGTGGTACTTCTGACCGAGCAGTAACTTGACCTTGTTGACTCCGGCGTGTGCCACACATGGCTGGGCATGCACGTGGCGGATCAAGGCGGTGCGCAGCTCTGGAGGTTCCATGGGTATCTCCAGGCGTCCTTGGAAGTAGAGTTTCCCTTGGTTAAGCTCATAATCCATGTGGTGCGCTCTAGCCTTTGCACGAAGGGGTTCCAAGTCAGGGGAGGTTTTATTGGCTTCAATAACCTGATCAATAATGTTGTATCCATTGATGTCGTATGCCACTACAGAGGCCGGGTCCGGTGGCTCACCATCAACAATCAGGTGGTCCAAAGATGATGTAGCTTCGTCATTGACTGTTAATCCGGGATTATCAGTCGCAACCTCGTTGTCTGCATCCACTGAGGTTCTATGAATGTAAGAGTCGACGTCATTGAGGCAGTCAATTTTTGCCATACGCACTTCTTCCAAGATCTTAGGGTCTATCTTGTCGTCCGGAATCATCTGTTGGTTCCGGTATGCCCGTTTCTTAGCCTCAATGGGTGTGAGTTCCTGATCGCGACGGGAGAGGGTGTCTGCAAGAGTATTTGTAATACCTGTCCAATACATAATCGTGAAATGGAACTCGGCGAAGAACTCTGCCCAGCGAGCTTGGCGGGCCGTGAGTTCCTTTGTTGACATGAAGTACTCCAAAGCCTTATGGTCTGTATACACATGGACGTTTTTCTGGGCACCTAATAGCTCAGGCTTGTACTGCTTGAAGGATCGGAAAATTGCCAAGAGTTCCTTATCATGGATTGGGTAATTGAGCTCGGCGTCAATCATTGTTTTTGAGAAATAGCCCATAGGGTGAAAAAGACCATCATCCTGCAGTTGGGAGAGGACGCCAGCGACAACTCCATCCGAGGAGTCTGTCTCTAGACGCGTTTGCTTATTTGGGTCATAATGGCAGAGGATTGGGGCGGACTTCAATGCTGATCTCAATGTTTCCCAGGCTACTTCGCATTTTTTGTCAAATTTAAATACAACATCCTTGCCCGTTAAGCATGTGAGAGGACGACAGATGGTACTATAATCCTTGATAAAACGTCGGTAGAAATTGCAAAATCCTAAGTAGCTTTGCACACCCCTAACATTAGCAGCGTACTCCCAGTTTTGAATAACCGAGATCTTGTCAGGGTCGACTTTGATACCTTCAACCCCAATAATAAACCCCAAAAACTTTGTCTTTGAAACATGAAACTCGGATTTTTGAATGTCGGCCTGGAGCCCGTGATCCATGAGAATCTGCATTATCTTTTTGACGTGGGTCTCATGCTCTTCGGGATTGCTAGAGTATATTAAAATGTCATCTATGTAAGCTGAGCAGTAATCGTCTAAATGTTCCATGAGAATATTGTTGATGAAGCGCTGGAAGGTGGCTGGTCCGTTCGTCAGACCAAAGGGCAGCACTTTATATTTGTAAGTGCCATATCGGGTGCGGAAGGTCGTATAGTCTTCAGAATCTTCAGTCATTCTAATGCGGTGGAAGGCTTGTTGGATATCCAACTTTGTGAAGATCTTTGCCTTCGAAATACGTGCCATTATTTCGTCGATCAAGGGAATCGGGTACGGATCCTTGGCGGTTAGCTCGTTGAGCTTTCGATAGTCAATACACAGACGTAGACTACCGTCGGCTTTCTTCGCAAAGAGGATCGGTGCAGCATGCGGAGCGCTCGAAGGGGCAATGAAACCTTTATGGAGGTTCTCTAGGATATACCGCTTGGTTTCTGAGAGTTGTTCATCCGTCATCCGGCGCAGTGGCTCCATAGACAAGTTGTTTCCAGCTTGTAAGTCGATTTTGTGATCGACATTGGGCCTATGGGAAGGAAGCTCATCTGAGGCTCTCCGAGAGAAGAGGTGTTGGAAAGCTTGGTATTGAGACATGAGTTTGTCTTTCACCATATCCTCGTCTGATTGGTATTTGGCCTCCAAAGCCATCTTAGGTGATAGTTTACTATCAAGGGCCGCGATCTCAACTTCGTTTTGTAAGTTTAATTCATCCTGTCTTCGCTTGATCTTTATGTCAATTTCGTTAACCGAAGCAACAAAGGTATAATTTTCCTTTCTATGGGAGTCCCGGGAACTTAGGGCCGGGCTTCTTAGATGGAACCGATGCATTGATGACGCTGAGATCATGGAAATGTTGGTCGAGTACTTGCTGTGTAGTTTCGACCCTGGAGACTGGGTGAGCAATTCGGCTGGTAGTTCTGGCCCATGGCTCTGATCACTCGTAGAATGACTGTAGGGACTTGATCTCTGGAGCGACTCCTCCATCCTAGATAGACGGTTCCGCATTTCTCTCAAGAAGCATGATGGTCTTCGAGGCTGGGGTTGCATGCGAAACTTTTT